CCTTCGTGGGTTAGATTCCAAGACAGATTTCCATCGCCACTACAGTAGAGACAGAGCGTCATGAGGGCGCAGGAGAGGAGAGGGCGAATTTACAAGACACTTGCACAATATTCCCTGGGACCAGACTGGAACAAAGATTCGCTGAGCACCACCAATTCCATATGCCTGGCAGATGGGAGCATCAGCACCGACTGTGACAAACGGGAGAGAAAGAGAAGCAGAGTATCGGGGCCAACAGACAGTCCCGTGAAAAAGCTTAATATTGTCCCAACAACATCGTGTGTAGGGGAGGAGGGGGCGGGGGTAGGCAGTACTTAAAAAGAGGGAGAAAACTCAGGATAAAAGCTCTCTTCAAACAAGAGAAACAATCCATTGATCTAACCACAAGAATGAAATCAGGCGACGTTAAAAACAGCTCAGCGTGGGGATGGAGAAGACATCTTCCTCAGTGCTGAACCCTTGGGGAAGGCAAATTCTTGTTTTGCTCATTAAAAAAGTGTTTTTTTGTAAAAAAAAAAAAATTGAAGTGTCGTTGATTTACAGTGTTCGATTCAGGTGTACAGCAAAGTGATTCCGTTATACATATACATACATACATCTATTTTCTTCTCAGATTCTCTTCCATTATGTTATTACAAGGAATTGAATACAGTTCCCTGTGCTCTGCAGTCAGTCCTCGTGGTTTATCTATTTTATGTATAGTAATGTGTGTCTGTTAATCTCCAATCCGTAATTTATCCCTCCCTGCCCTTTCCCCTTTGGTAACCATAGTTTGTTTCCTATGTCTGTGAGTCTGTTTTTGGTTTGTAAGTAAAATTTGTATCTCTCTCTCTCTTTTTTTTTAAAGATTCCACATATAAGTGATATCAACAGACTAAGGTGAGGAGGAAGTCAAGTTCAGAACCTTTATTTCTCTTTCCTCCCCTCCAAGAGCCCACACTGACAGTCTTCTAGGACTTTTGCTTAAAGCACCTCCCTCACAAGGGCTTTATCTACTAGCCTCATGCCTACACCCCTGTATAGATGTTTATTTCTTTATTTTTATGACACAGAAGCCAAAAGGGACGACACCAGGAGCCTGAGCCTTGAAGGCACACAGACCTGAGTTCAAGTTCAGGGTTTGCCATGAACCACGAGACTCTGAGCAAATGACTGCACGGGCGTGTCCCTGAAGTCCTCACTCGTAAAAGGGGGCAGCACGGTCTCTCAAACAATGGTTTCCTTCCCCTTTCTGGGAATGTGGCCTTTTCCAATTTTGGCTTTTGGAAACATGTATAAGAAGCATCGTAAATGCATATTTATGAAGTCATGTTTCGCCACAAAGTCTACACTTTCACCAAATAGCATTTATGACAAATATTTGAATAAAAGTTTTCTGGGTTGCCAGTTTTTTTCAAGAAAAGGAGGCAAGTATCCAACTGGCCTAATTTTGAAATATGCGAAGGAATAATATTTTGAAATGATCAGTATTTAATAGGCTGCCTTTCCCCATCACTTTCTCTCCGCTTTAGCCAGGCCAACTGTAGGTGTGTATACGGGCAGGAGGGGCAGGTAGGTGCCAGGAAACAAAAATAATGAAACCAAGAAAGGCCAGAAAAGAAACTTCCAACATCTTCTTGAATCTAGTAGTTTGCATTCATTCATTCATTCATTCATTCATTCATGACTCCTGGAGGCCTGCTGTGTGCTGGGCCCCATGCCTATCAAGGAACTCACAGTGACAGAAGGAGATCTGTCACCCGACCAAATGTTATTTTTTCTTTTCCTCCTTCCTCTTTCTTTTCCTTTTACTGGGAAACTGTTAGCATTTTGGATTCCGCACAATTTTAAGAGTGCATGACATTTTTAGGGTACAATGTTCACCCGGGGCTCACCGAGGAGCTATTTGTCCTAAAGATTTCTAA